TGTAAGCATCATTTTTTAATGACTGCAAAATATCCCGTCTTGTGGACGCACCGTAATTTGCCTAACAGCTCCCAGTTTCCTGGTCGTTTGGGTTGTTTCCAATTTGTGAAATGCAGCTTTAAAGCTGTGCACAGTCGCATGACGAAAACACCAGCGTAGAGGGAATGGCTATAAAAAGAGCAGTCTGCCCGGAGGGGAGCCACCGAGGGGTCATTTCACGCGGCCTCCCAGGAGAAATTGCAGAAGGAGGGCCCTGCGAGGCTGGCTTACCCACCCCAACCCCGGCTATTGCCTCTTCCAGAAAGAAATGTTTTGTGGGAAACGTAAGGAGGGTGGCACCCTTCTGGCCTGGGAGGTCTCCAGCCACAGTCATTATCAAAGCTCTCAGAGCAAGCCCTTCCTGGTGTCCAGGGCTGTTCCCTGGATTCTGGAAGTGGGGGGACCAGCCAGGGCTGTTTTTCCCGATGTAAGAGACTGACTCTAGAAAAGTCTTGAGATTTTCTCAAAGCCTGAGCGGCCAGATGGAAACGGAGGGCGGTTCTAGGGACCCCTGGGAAGCCCCGCCCCCTTCCTGGATTCCTGGATTGCTTCCAGAATGGAGAGGAGACGCTGTTCGCCGGTGGATGCTTCCTTGGTTCTTTCAAATCGGTGTGTGAGTCTGCAGAGAGTCAGCCAGCCAGGTTCAGGCTCGCCCAGGAATCTAGGCAGAATGTGCTGGTGGAGGGAGGTGGGTATTTTTCCCAGGCTGCTGTTCTCACCGAACAGTTCCACGCCAAGGCTGGAGTGAGCCCTTTGCAGTCTTGGTCACAATGCCCTTCGTTAGCTCCTTACACAGAATCCCTCCCCTCCCATGGCACTCCCCAGGTGCAGCGGCAGAATGTGGAAAGAACATTCTTTTAAATATGCTTTTATTTATGTCAGAGACAGGAGGGAGAGAGAGAAAGAAACATCGAGGAGAGAGAAATATTTCTGGAAGTGGGGGGACCAGCCAGGGCTGTTTTTCCCGATGTAAGAGACTGACTCTAGAAAAGTCTTGAGATTTTCTCAAAGCCTGAGCGGCCAGATGGAAACGGAGGGCGGTTCTAGGGACCCCTGGGAAGCCCCGCCCCCTTCCTGGATTCCTGGATTGCTTCCAGAATGGAGAGGAGACGCTGGGCAGCATCAGAAAGCTAGTCTTGAGCTCGCACTCTGTACCAACCTCACTGCATACGCACTTGGCCACATGTATAGATTAGGAAGTCTCCACAGTTCCAGAAATCATTTGTTTGTCGGTTTGGTGGTCGTGTTTGTTTATCGGGAGACAGGAGGGAGAGAGAGAAAAAAACATCGAGGAGAGAGAAATATCAATCGGCTGCCTTCTCCATGCCCCCTACTGAGGATAGATAGAGCCTGCAACCTGGGCATGTACCCAGACCGGGAATCGAACAAGCAACCTCCTGGTGCATGGGCCGACGCTCAACCAACTGAGCCGCACCAACTGTGCTGGGAAGAACATTTTTGTGAAGAAAAAAATGAACCAGTAAATAGGCAAAACCAAGGACCAACTTGCTGACAATACTGACACGGACAGCAGGTTCCACTGCCTCCAAATTCCTCCCCTGGAGGCCCGGTCCCTCCTCAGACCCCAGAGCACTTTATAAGCACGTCTCACAAGGCCATGTCAGGCCAGCCTTGCATTACAGTATCTGCCTTTCGTTCTCTGATGGCCCCTGTATGCTCCCACCCACCAATCAAAAGTGACCAATCAAAACAAGTATGCAAGGATAAATAAGGACAAACAGACTTATTGCAATAGACCAGTGGTTCTCAACCTTCCTCATGCCACGACCCTTTAATACGGTTCCTCACGTTGTGACTCCCAACCATAAAATTATTTTCATTGCTATTTCATAACTGTAATTTTGCTACTGTTATGAATTGTAATGTAAAGATCTAATATACAGGATGGTCTTAGGTGACCCCCAAAGGGGTTGCGACCCACAGGTTGAGAACCGCTGCAACAGACGCTTCCCTGGGAAACTAGGGAAGTGTGGCCACACTGAAATTCTCTTGCTTGATAGAACGCCAGACCCAAGTTATAAATCCCTGTGTCCTCCACAAAACTCAGCACAGACCCTTGCTCCAAGGAGATAATCACTGAACAGTGGACAAGCAAAGTGATCGTCCTGTTCTATCAGTGGCCTCTCTGTTCATGCATTTATTATCTCTCAAGTTCATCTTCCAGAGGGCCTCCCATTCACATATCCCTCAGCTACCCCACACAGAGTTCCCTGGACTGGCTCTGCCTCTCCTCCTCTCATTCACTCTGCCTGGGTTCTTCAGAGCCCTCTCTCTCCCCCTTCCGGCCCAGGACACTGTTCCCCAACACACTCCCACGCCCTTCAACGTCAGCCAATTTTGACTCATTCTCTCCTAAGACTTTGTGCATTCCTTTACCATAAAGCTTGTCAAGTAGTTTCTTACGTTTTTCACATTAGACCATGAGTTCATCAAGGGACGGGACTGTTGAAATATCACTAATTGTAGAAGCAGGTATGTGACAGATACTCATTTCTTCATTCATCCATTCAACCAATATTTATAGAGCATCTGCCATATGCCAGGCAAAATACCTGTCTTCGTGAGCTTACACCCTTGTGGAAACAGACAAGGACAAATGCTTGCATAATAAACTATCAGGCAAAGATAAGGGACATAAAGAGAAATAAAGCTGGGCAGCTCAAACCAAGTGAGGTACTATTTCAGTGAAGGTGGTCAGGGAAGGTTTCTCTAAGGAGAAAGTATTTAAGCAGAGACCTAGAGGAAATGAGGCAGGAAGCCACGTGGCTATCTGAGGAAAGACCTTGCTAGGCAGAGAGAAGAGTAAGTGCAAAGGCCCTGGGGCAGGAGCATTCTTGGCCATGCAAGGAACAGCAAGGAGGCCAGTGAGGCTGGAACAGAATGAGTGAGTGTTAGATGAAGGAAATGAAGTCCAAGATGGGCAAGGTCAGATCTTTCAGTCTCTTTGGGCATGTGGATGAGTTTGGTTCCTAGTCCAGGTGTGATAAGAAGATTCGTAGATGTTAGTTAAGTTGAATAATTTGAATTGAACTGAACTGAATTGGGCTTCACTGAGCTGAACAGAACCAGGTCTCATCTTAGCATAGACTGCATACAATTTTTGAACCTTGTCCCAAAGCCCCCAGCACAGTGACACTTTTGCCAGCCCTTCCCACTTGTACCAGTTTCATCTGGTGGCAAATAGGTACAGAGAACATCTAAATTCTAGAGAAATGTGGCCTTGCTGGCTGCCCATCATTTCTGTTTCATTTCTGACTTTCCCAGAGTCTGAAGTCTTTGGAGGGTCACTGGGATTTATTCGGGGCCTTGGCCGAGGTCCCGGACCTGACTTTTAATGTAGTTCTTACTCAAGCCTGGTTCTCATTGAATCTTAATTATGTGGAATTCCTACCCTACAGACAACTGAAATAACCACATTTAGCTATTTTTATCATTTTACTTGAGTCTTTATAAAATCATTGCAGTGAACTGTCACCCAGAGTAAAGTGGAAAACCCACTGGAATTTAAGCGAAGCAAATTCACAAGATTCAATCGCACACTCATTGATTCACTTAACAAATGTTCATGCACTCAAAGAATCTTTCTGTCAGAAACTTGGAAACAACTTTATTTTATTTTATTTTTTTAAGATATAACTGACATACAGCATTATATTAGTTTCAGGCATACAACATAATTATTTGATTACTTCTGTATATTGCAAAATGATCACCACATAAGTCTAGTTAACATCCATCGCCTCACATAGTTACAAAAATGTTTTTTTCTTGTGCCGAAAACTTTTACGTCTACTCTCTTAGCTGCTTTCGAATAGACAGCACAGTCTTGTTAACTACAGCCACCGTGCTGTACTCTACACCCCCATTCACTCAAAGAATGTTGACTGAGGACCTGTGAAGTGCCGGGCACTCTACCACGTGCTGGGGACACACAGAGCACAGGAGAGGTCTCTGCCCTCATGAAGCTGGCAGTCCAATGGAGGAGACAGAAAATCCAGGACACTGCTGTACAATGTCATCTCGAGTAGTGGCAGGTACTACTGTGTGCAAGACTGGGCGACACAAAGATGAATCATTCGTGCCCCCACAGTGTTGTTGGGTTTGTGGTAAAGACATAAATTATAACAATATGTAAATGGTATTGTGGAATTCTATACACAATGCTATGGGGGCCCTGGCCAGATTTTCTCGGTGGTTAGAGCACCAGACCATTGTTCGAAGGGTCATGGGTTCGATTCCCAGTCAAGGGCACATACTTTGATTGCAGGTTTGCTCCTCAGCCGTGGTTGGGGATCATGCAGAGGCAACCAGTTAATGTGTCTCTCTCACATTGATGTTTCTCTCTCTCTCTCTCTCGCTCTCTCTCTCTCTCTCTCTCTTTTTACCTCTCCCTCCCCCCACCCTCCCTTCCACTTTCTCTCCCTGAAGATCAATGGAAAAAATATCCTCGGGTGAGGATTAAAAACAAACAAACAAACAAAATGCTATGGGGGTAGAGGGGAACGC